TGGCACCAAGCTTTCTTCTCTTCCAAACAGCATCAGTGCTGACTTCTAAACCCATTTGTTTCTCTTAATGTTGTCTTCAATATTTAGCTCCATAGCTGTTCATCCTCCTATTGACATCCATCCTCTTACCCTTTAAATAAATGATGCAGTTGATTTTGTGCAGACCAAGCTTGCTGGTTTTGAGGCTTTCTGAGGAATGCGCTGAGCTGGGCTCATCCTACTCCAGATTTACTGCTCTCCACACCATAGTAGCTCTCTTCAGATTATGAAACAGAGATAAAAACTCCCTTTAAATTTGTCTTTTTCCTTATGTTTCTCAGCCAAGAAATTAGAAAGAAGAGGAGGTTGTTCAGGATTTCTGGTAGAGGCGTGCTGCCTGCATGTACATTGCATTGAGGCAGCACTCCCTGGGAGTGATCAGAATTAGTCACAGAGATGAAATGGATGTGGACAGAATTTGTTAGCAGCCTTCTGAAAGCCTCATTCTTTCTTTGATACGTTCCTTGTGGTTTTGAAGTGCATCACTACCACGTCTGATATTTTATTAACAATAATTGTATTTCCCGCTTTTCTTTTGAGCATTTCAAAGAGTTTTAGAAGTATTAATTGAGTATCTGCCCTCTGACTTCTATGAGGAAAGTGAAAATAAGGTCTTGTCAAATATGTTTGTTGAAAAAAGTATTAAGAATAATACAGAGAATATTAAGAATACCACTGAGAATAAACAGTTCAGTAGTGATTGAGTCAACTCACAATTGTGCTGATTTGTAATGTCCAAGCCTAATAATTTCCTGGTTTGTGTTTTCTTGTTCTCCAGCGATGTCTGTGTTCTCAAATCCCAGGGGGCTGTCTTACAGCACCTTCTGTGATGAAAATCCTACAGATAACAAATAGATGGTCACAGAACCTTTGTGTGGCCACTTCCTGAGGTCATTAAGAAGAATTGTAGTGCTGGGCACCCGAGGGCTGTTATCTGTATATATTATTACATATTATCTCATTATGGAAGGCAGCAACATTCAGAGCAGGGAGAGTATCCTGGAGGTGGCTTCCATTGGGGAGCCCTGTCCCACTGAGTGCCCTGCACTGGGGGACACAGAAAGAGTCTTCAGTGAACCAGAACAGCCCTGATGTTTCTGGGGAAGCAGAGCTGCAAAGGAATTAGGGTATGGATAGCAGCACACGTGCAAACTCCTTCCTGATAAGAGGAAACACAGAGCCACGTGGTTTTCAACACCCATCCCCTGTCCTCCACCGTGCCTGGCTGGCCCACATTCTCCATTTAATATGAGGAAGGTGGTCTGTGACAGAGACCTTTCTGTGCTGTGGTGGTGTTCCTGATAAAAGGTTTCTCCCTCCAGAGAGTTTTCTTATTTAAAAGGGAAGATGTAACTGAATTTCAACCCCCAATACTGACAGCCCTGGAGCTGCATATCTGAGTAGGTTTACAGGTGATGAGCTATGAATTTATGGGCTTTTCTCCCCACATCATTTCTCCCTGAAATGGCTTTCCTGATGTGTCCAGCACAGAATTCACTTACTGTGATCTTCACATTTTAGAAACTCTTCAGTCCCTGCTCCTCTAATGACTTGGCTTCCAGAGAATCCATTAATTATAAAATAACCTGAATGCAGATACAACGGGTTTAAGACAAAGATACAACAGGTTTAAGATGCAGATACAACAGATCTAGGTAGGAATAGACTGAGTTAGGCTTGGTTAAGATTTTCTGTGAGTTTTCTTAGATGTGAAAGCCACTCTTCAAATGAGTGTTTATCCTCCAGATTTCTGAGCCCTGGCAAAAACAGGACCGAACGGCACCACGTTAACCCTCAGCATTTGTTCAGCACCTGCTCACAGATGTGTCTGAATATTAAGGAGAAATTCATATGGTGCTCAACAGCATAAAAAGTGTCAGGATGTGTGTGAACAAGCAGGAGGAAATATCGATGTGAGCGTGTAGGAGGGGAAAGACTATTACAAGGGCAATCCAATTAATGCAAATGATGCATGCAGATGGCTGTGGCTTTTTTAGTGCCTCCACTGTTGTACTCCACAAGAGCTGTGCATTAGGGATGAGGGAGGGGAGTTCTGCCTTCCCTTGTGTGGCAGTCGTGTTTTCAAGCCTGGGTGTCCCACTCCTGCCAGGAGAGGAAGAGGAGACACCTTCCCTTCCCTGCTTGTGGAGCTGCAAACAGGAGAATGGCAATAAAACACCTCCTAAACCAAGGGCTGCTTCCATGAGGTAACTTAATCTCAGCTTCTGCAAACAGCAGTGTGTCTGTTGACTCCTGGCACTCCAGGGCAGCACTATCACTGCTTTAAAAGTCAAACAAGAAAATTGAAAGAGAGCCCCAGGTTTTTGGGGCTGTAAGCTCAGGGTCAGCGCGTTTGATTTCCTTTGGTATTGGCTTAACAGGACTGTTCACCTAAAGGCAGCAGGATTTGAGCTGGAAAATAGACATTTGCAGCTACATATTGATCCTTGGAGCTGGATCTTGTCCATCTTTATGATGTACCTTCTGGAAAAAGGGTTTCTTCTCTTATCTCAGCATCTGATGTCTGGTGAATGGTGACTTTCATTGAGGACAAGACCTGGCCACTTGGTCTTTCAGATGAGATAAATGGCAAACACAAATATGTGGCCTGAGCAGCTCAAAATTTTTTCTTTTTATTGCTTCCCTTATACATTCTCATTCACAAGAGACAAACCAGACTCCGACCTTGCTCTCCTGAGGTGAAGAGAAACTTGGCTGTGGATTCCAGTGACTGCAGGAAGCCAATGGAAATTTTCTCCTGTTTACTCCAAAGAGTTTTGATTCAGGCTGTAGCACTAATAATCAGATCATGAAATAAATATTAAATTCATTTAATAAATAAATTAACAACCTCTCTTAAGTAGCAATCCCATTATACAAAATCTTTTCTGTCAGAACTTGTGCCACCTTTTCTCCAAGCATTGTCATGTCAGGTACTGTTAGGAGCAATACTTTGGGGTGAAGTGGCAAATTTACTTTCTCTTTTGTGTGTTTGTTTTCTATATTGACTTACAGAGAATCTGCTTTCCCCCTGACTAGTAGCTGTTTTCATTTTTTTTTCCATGTTTTTATTATATGGGTATTAGGTATGTGGGTGAAAAGTCAGAGTCTGCCAATAAACTTATTACAGTGGCTCTGTAAGGTACTTTTATGTTATCTTCAGCATTTTGCCAACTTGCTGTAAAATACCTTATGCATTTTTTTCTACTGTAGCACATTTTGCTTAAAAGTAGTATAGCTTTGTCCTTGGGGGAAAAAATGAAAAAAAACCCCAAATCTCTCTGTATATATAATTTTTTTAAAAGTTGAGTGCTCAAGTAGAACACTACATTTCCACTCCAAGAATGAATATGCATAGTTTCTTGTCCATTGAGGTTGTTATGAATACAAATTTGGCAAAAAAATTCAGGCAGCCAAGTGTTTTCACAAGTATTTCAGCTGTGCTTGAAATACTTGTGAAACCAAAACATACACAGCAAGGAACAGTGCCAAGCCAACTTTTAAAAAAGTTATATATATGTATTTAATACTGGTTTTTTTTTAAGAACCCCCATAGAAGCCTAAATTGCATTGCTAACTCTTTTTGAAAGTTAATATTTCACACCTAATCAAGTCATAACACTTTCTGCACAAAAATGACAGTGATCTTAATCCCTCAGTAAAATTTCATTTATAAAGGTGTGCCCAATGTTAGATAGCAGCAAAAACTGTAAAAAAACAAAAAAACCCACATCATCCAAACAAAAACCTCCAAAAAGGGCAAACACAAAGTGAGAAGGAAGAAGGAAAATTCTCAGGTTTGTCACTTGGAGGACTGTCTGTTCATGGAGAGTTCTCTCCCTTCCCCCTGCATCTCTTTATTCTCTGTGCCTTTGATATCAGCCACACCTACACCAATATCTGCACTGTCTCCCTTCCCATACTTTGTGCTGCTTTGATGGTGACTATTTTTATTATTCTCAGTGTTGTCTCTCTGTCTCGCTCTCTTATGAAATAACCCACCCTTCTCTGTAGTGCTGTTAATTTACAAGGTGCTTTACAAACACAGATAAGAGCCATCCAGGGCTCTACTCTAAATAAGATAAGACAGATGCCAGATGAAGCACTTGAAGGCTGTTCAGGAAAGTGAGGACATGGAAATGACTTATGCAAGGAGCTGAGGGGCTTGTGGAGTTTCTGAGAGGGGGTTTAGGCAGGATGGTGAGGAGGTTTGGCAGTGGAGGAAAATGATCAGCTGCAAGGAGCAGCAGGGTGAGACGTGAAGACAAGAGCAAGGAAGAGAAGGGGAAAAATAAACTTGGAGGAATAGAGGACAGTGAATCATCAGAAAAGCAAGACGACAAAATATTTATCAGAGGTTTGCTCAGAATGGTCTGGGAGGGAGCTGAAGAAATCCATTCAGTTTGGGTGTGTTTTTTTTTTTCCTTTTGGACAAAACTTGAGTATCCATGACAGCTTTTCAGCCTACTTTGTTCTCAGCCTGTCTGCGATGACAAGCACAGCAAGCAGTGCTTACATGTTGATGTGTTAAAAAGTTTCCCTCCTATTAAAGAAGTGTCTTTTGTATTTAATATTATCCTATCCATTGTGTCCATTTATGAAGGGAAAGAATGAAATATAAAACCTAATGGATGTCAGGAAGGCAAAGGAAGATGGGTGTGCTCTGTCTTTTTGCCTTCATCATCCTACTGAATACTCCAACCTGCTCTTCTCCCTATGGCTTTGTAAGGTTGAGGGAACATAGACTGAAAAATTGACTTAGAAAAATTAATTTTATAAGAAAGAATAGTATATAAACTCAGGGAACGAGCCAGATCCTACAAGACGCTTCGCTTCTTTGCATTCCTGGGATTTAAGCTGGACCAGGGGAGATTCAGTATCTTGTAGGACTGCACAGCCTGGCTCCTTCTTAGGGCACTGATGTGTTTTTTCTCTCCACCCCTTTCCTGTGGGATGATTAGGCCAGCACCAAGTGAAGCAGGGGACGTGTGAAGTGGTGGCCGTGCACCGGTGCTGCAACAAGAACCGGATCGAGGAGCGATCCCAGACGGTGAAGTGCTCCTGCTTCCCGGGACAGGTGGCCGGCACCACCCGGGCTCAGCCCTCCTGCGTGGAAGGTGAGAGGCTCTGCTCACTCCTGCCTCCTTAAAACTGTTTGAGAAGTTCAGTCTCCTCGGTGTCTGACTTCCCACCGCCTCAAAAAGCGTAATCCTTCCTTTTGTTAATTTTGGGAGCATCTCTGTGCGTTGATGATAATGAGCCTGTGCATAAATCTTGGTGTAATTAATCCTCTTAATATATGTACTGGTCCATTTCGTGTCTGTGCCAATAAAACTTCTTAATTTTTTCTCACAAGAATTCTCCTCTAAAACTAGTTTGAAAACGCCATAAGCCAAGAAATTCAAGATTATGATATTAACTCTTCCAGATGTCTTAAGAATTAGTAGCTTGGCTAAAAATTCACTGGATAATGAATGCAAGCCTAAGCCTGGGCATGCAGGTGCTGCTGGGACATCTGGTATGGAGAGTTTTTCTCTAAATCAATATTTCACCATTTAATGTGCCTATTTTTTGTAGAGGTTGTTGCTCTTGTTACGCTAGTAAATCTACTCCAAGACTTTTTTTTAATCTTAAAGCTACCAAAATCCCTCATTTTCATTAATCCATAAGCAAGATCCTCTTTTCATTCTTTTGCACATAAAATTGCAACTGGTTTACTTAAACATAAAACAAAAATCTTCAAAGTCCAACTCTAATCTAATATTCAGAAATATTTTATGTGAATCTGTTTTTTGAGGGTTTTTTTACCTATTATGAAGCTGTCAAAATAGATGTTTAAAAAGTAGATTTTTAAAAAAGTTTTTTACATGCCTTGTGTTTTTATGCTTTGTAATTCAGCAATACAGTTGAGTTTAACTGTGCATTTTCTTAGGCAGTTTTCTTGTTACATCAGAAGTATCTTCTGCATTTTTAGGTGACACATCAAATAGCAGAAATACTTTTACATATGACAGATAATAGAAGTCAGGCATTATTTTAAACTCACTTAAAGACTGCAAAGGTGGCACTGCCATTCTATGGCAGAAATATATAAATACTGCAGAACTTGATTCAGTCAACAGTTGCTGAAATAATTGAATAGCTGTTGTTTTCTTCAAGTATAGTTACAATTAAGTGCAACAAAATATTGTGAATGTAAGATTTGAACTTTTAAAGTGGAAGCCTTTGATTCCCCCTCACTCCTTGGGGTAATGCTTTAGCAGGCTTTGCTCATTTTTGCAAGCATTTGTGGCTACAGTGAGCTGCTGCTTTACAGAAACTGTAACTCTCTTTTCTTAGCCTCAGGATTAGCTGTATTTTCTGCCACTCTATACACACCCTTCAGTAGATTCCTACACTGTGAAAGCAAGAAACTGTTCAGGTCTTGAATTTGCAAATTACAGACTGATACAGGCATTTAGGGTTTTTTTCCAGCACCTTTGTCCTGAATTCAGGACTGTTTAATTTGCTCTGAGTTTAAGGAGGGATACGCCCAAAGCATAGAGTTACTTGTCCAACCAAAAAAGAAAAAAGATTTTATAATGCAATTGGCTTGTAGCTGTTTTTTATTTTCATTGAACTTCAAACCTTATCCAGCAGTGGTGCTCAGTTGCATCAGGGCAGCAATTCTCTCTGCTGGCAGTCACTAGTACCTGGTGTTCCCACCTCAAATCTGTCCAGCAGACCTGTGGCTTGCCATTCCTCATCCCACTCCTCCAGGAAGGATCAAGATGCCTCCTTCCATCCCACACTCCCTTGTTTTGTCTGACTCTGTGCCTGTTGGGTGCTGCCATCTCCCCTGGGTGTTTTTCATTCCATCCTTTCTGACCTTGTCAGGAATGATCTCTCACCTCTCAGGCAGCACAGTCAGGTTTCACCCATTTCTTGTCCACAACCAATCAGTATCAAAGCAAATGATCTGAGACCCAAATGACTGGTGGAAGTTCACACATTTATTTTGTAATGTTACAAGACTGAAAGACTAGTTTACAAAAGCCAAAGCAGCGTTCCAGAAGTGTATTTTTTCATAACACTCTTCAGTAAGAGCGCAAAACAACAGTGATTGAATGAACATTTCGGCAATATCCTGATGTCAGCTTGCCTGCTTGACACCCTCATTTAAAGGTTGCAGAAGAACAAATATATTTTGAAATTAAAAGGAAAAAAATTGCTTTACAAGAAGTAGAGTCCATTATTTTTGCTCATCTCTTCTGAATGTGTTATCTTTTAAGGCATGCGATTCAATAGTTTGTGCACATAGTAGCATAATGCAGACTAGCTGAATCAACATTTTAAGCCGTGTTTTATTTTGAAATCCAATAGAGATTATGTAGGATTGTGTAGTGATATATTTCATAATAATTTTATGGGATTTGATGAGTGCCACAAACAGTTCAAATCTGAGAAATGCATGCAGGGGTTTGTGTTGTTAACAGCAGGTTTATAAAGTCATGACAACATTTCTAAAAGTAATAGCCATGGTCTTAATAGAAATTGGCTTAAGAGTAGAAAATTAATACATTTGCCTAGTTAAAGTGTACAACTACAGCCTTCCAAAACATATTGAAAAAGTGGCAGTGTGACTGCAAGTTGATTTTTAATTGATATTCTAAAGTTTTCCAGAGGTTTCCTACTCTTACCTGCAGTATTTACAGACACACCTCATGGGTTTGCATCCCTGTGCAATTCTATTTTCTCACCCAGTGAAGGAAGAAACTGGCATTTCTCTGTCCAGTCTCTCATATGTGTATATGGGTTAAACAAGAAGCCTCAGCTTCATTCCCCCTTACAGCTGGTACTTGACTGAAGCATGCAAATGAAGGAGACAAGTCATTTTTGTAGTCAGTGGAGATGGAAAGACACTTCCAGAGGTCAGCTCAGAGTCAGTCTCTGGTGGTGCCTGCCTCTTCACCATTTCAATATGGCATTTATCCTTCTGAGGACTGGTGAAGTGTTTAGCCACTTTTTAACCTTTAACACTCTCCATGTGATTCATGTTAAACCAGTAATTGTTGTTTCTACCTTTTGAAATCAACCAGTTGAACGTGGCACAAACAACCTCCCTGCAAAAAAGCAACAGTGATAAAAAAGGTATTGTTTTTTTCCTGCTTCTTTTTTTCTAGCTTCCATTGTCCTGCAGAAGTGGTGGTGTCATATGAACCCCTGTTTGGATGGAGAGGACTGTAAAGTACTACCAGACTATTCAGGTTGGTCTTGCAGCAGTGGAAATAAAGTCAAAACCACAAAGGCAAGTACAGAGATCACCTCTATTTAAAGGTGCCAGTCTGCTGATTGCTCTTATTGCATTGTGTCTGTGGGTTTGAGCACCAGTCTTGGCCTTCTCAAAGTTTTGGAAAGCTGTGATTAATGTAGTTGTTCTCAGAGAGGAAATATTAGGTCAGAACTGCCCCTTCACTCCTGCAGTCAGACTGAAAATGGTCCTGATTCAGCCTTCAGTGAGCCAAAGAAACTATTTCATTGTGCTCAGTGCTAGGGGGATAATCATGTTCCAGAACCAGTCCTTCAATCTGCAGACTGAGTACAGGGATCCAAGATCTTTCCCTTTAATGTCACATAGAGTTAGATTCCTGTGCTGGACAGCCTTTTACCTTTTGAAAGTACCAGCCTGGCTTGGGAGTTGTTGGGAACCTGCACTGATGCCACTGTGCCACACTGAGCACCACTGGAAATCAGGCTGGTTCAGAATAGTTCTGATTACAGACCACCCTGTAGCTGGCCTGTTTTTTTTTTTCTTTTAAACCAAACCTTTGCTACATCATCTTATTTATTAATTAATGGACAGAAAATATCATGTCCTCTGTCTGCTTGGCAATTTAAAATGAGTTCAGTGCATTGAAGTTCAGCAAACTGCATGTCTAAATACATCATAAAGCAGGAGTCTTTAGCAGGCAATAGCAAGGAGAGACATATGCTCAGCTTTTCCCTTTACAGCCTCTTCTAGCTGGGAAAGAATGTTGTTCATTAGGTTACAGTCTGAGTTAATAAGCAATACTGTCACCAAATGTTGTTTAGTAAGGGCTGTTCTGAGGGGTGAAAACTGCACTAATTTCTGGATGGGTGAGAGGAAATTGGATGTTTTGGGCAGCTGTGGTGTGATACTGGTGGTCTACAGACATTGCACAGTGACACCCCTGCACGAGGCAGAGGGGCTGGAACTAGAAGACCTTCAAGAGCCTTTTCAACCCAAACCTTTCTGTGATTCTGTGGCCAGTGTTATTTATCAATTACCAAAGATGTAGTCTACAGCCTGCCTGGGTCCTGCTGTTCTCTGGTGGACACTACACCTGGAATCAGGCCTGCAAACTCTGCAATCAGTGTGGATAACTGGGACTCAGTTATTATAAGATAAAGATTACCCTCAGCCTTTCAGCTTTTTCCCAGTGCTGTTTTTTAAATACTCATTTATAGACAAGGAGTAGCATGGTAGCATCACTCTGAAGGGTGAGACAGGTGAATTAGGAGATCTAGATATTGTACAAGACAACTTCATCTCTGGACATACCAGAAAAGAGCTGACAATTTATATCAAAAGCACCTTATTGGTCAGGTTAATTATCCTTTGAGTGAGGGTTAATTATCCTTGATGCCTTCTAGGGGTGGGAACAGAATAAAAACTTTTATGTTGGCACTGATAACTGAAGGCCTGGGGTGTCAAATCCTCATTCATACAGCTGCCTCTTCCTTTGGACAGCTGTAAGGAAACTAGAATGGACAGGGAAAAGGGAAGTGGAGTAATTAATATTTTTATTTTGAAAATGAACCAAAGACTTGACTCAGATCAATAAATAAAGCATTTCTTAGGTATATTATTAAAATTTGACACAAAGAGAACTGTTTGAACTGTCAGACCCATAGCCCAAACTGTTCAGTCACCTGTGAGCCTCAGCAAGGGGATGCTCAAATCAGACACAGCAAAACCCTTTGGGACAATTACAGAGAATGTACACATCCATGATTTTTTTCCAATTTAATAGTTGCCTTATGTCTAAAACACAATAGTTGAGATCCATTCAATGCTAATTTTTTTCTGTGTTATGCAGCAGATATGATCTCATTACCATTTAAATTTGTAATCAATTTTTAAAGCTTTTTAAGACCCTGGGATCAGTGCTATGTGGGACAGTGGCTTCCACAGGTTAATTATACACTGAAAGAGGAAATGCCATTTAATCAACTTTAAGTCCTCTATCTTTTCATTCCATAAAAAAAAGTAAAAATAGTGTAACTAAAATATTTGAAGCACAGGAGACTGCTGACACTACTCAGTACTTAGATGAATAGTTAGTGTCTGAGTGGGACAGTAAAATGTGCAAAGCTGAGGAATTTGCATCTTCCATCAGTTCCCTCAGGGAAGGAAATAAAAACTTCTCTATGCTGAGTGTCTGTTTAGTTTTGTGACACATGTAGACACTGCAGAGCAGAGCTGACAAAGCTTTCCTCCTTCCAGCTGCCTGTTTTCATCCATTTCCAGGACAGGAAATCCAACAGGAGCCTCCTCACTGTGCAGCCAGAGCTGCTGGGTTTGTGTCCTGTGTGTGCATTAAGGCTTGAACACATCCCTGCAGCCCCTCCAGGCTCCTGTGGGAGCTCTGCTGTCGGGGGGAGATTTCTGCTGCAAGAACAATTTATTCCCCCATGTGCTGCCTGGTTCCTGATTGCCTCCCATAGGATGGACCAGTGGGAATGGGCAGCAGTTTGCATGAATGGCCCCTTGGGATGTAAATCCTACACTTGTGCTGGAAGCATTGGTGTTGGGAATGACATGAGGCAAAGTAAAATAGGAGATTTCCAGGAGATGGTGATAGCAAATTTAATGGTGAACTGCCATTTCTTTATCTGCAAGTCCCCCTCATGCTATCAAATGACAGTGTAATTAACATTTCTATAGAGATTCTCCTTGTCTGTGTGGTATAAAAGTGTGGCTGGAGCAAGTTCATTCATTGTCTGTCCTTGTGCAGTTCTTTTGCAGTAACAATGAACCTGCTATCATCCTTTGTTTGGTCAATTCTGTGTGAGTAACTCCCTCCTCTTCTTTTATAGGTAACACGGTAGCAAAGGCTAAACCTGAGGGTCACTCCCAGAACTATGGCATGTGGAACTGTTCCTTGGCTCTTACACAGAGACCCCTTTTTGACATGATGTTATTGACTTAATCCTTTGAACTTGCAAAGGAGCTGGGAAAAAGGACAGCACTTCTCCTTCCAACTGCGGCTGCAGTTCCTGAACCTGGATTTTGCTATTCCGTGGTACATGATAATTTCACAAGGAAAAACAAGGAGATTTGGTTCTACCTGAAATGCACCTTGGATTCCCAAGGATCTGAGACCTGGCTGAAAAGTGTGGAAGAACACACCTGAGCTTCTTGTGGTGCACCAGGGATAAGACTTTCTTAATGACACAAAGATATGTAAAATTGTTCTAAATGAGTTTAGGCCATGAATGTAATTTAGGGGATCATAGAAAGAAAATGCTAATGTTAGAACTAGTAAAGATGATCTCTAAGGTCTTTTCAACCTATATGATTCTATGGATTTGTCTGAGGTGTTTCTTGCATACAGTACAACATAAAAATACAAAACTGATCCCAGTGAATTGATGGGACTGTGTTAGTAAATTATGTCTTAATGTATTTTCAACTGTAATTTAGTACCTATCAAGGTGGTATGAAGGTGAGAAGATGGAACTTATAGAATTAGTAGCAATTATTGTAGGGCAAACTTTGGTTATGGCTGTGCAATTAGATTTATTTCCTTAGATAGTTCGAGGTAGTTTAACCTTTACATTCATAAGTGATGGCAGGAAAGCATGAGGAAGAGATAAAATTTGAAAGCAGGCATAGTTTTTCTTGTCCTAAAATAAATCCATTCTCTAGGGGAATAGCAAAGTATACATATTCCTTGCCTCTTTGAATCTAGATATGGAAAAGAATTTAGCCATTAGCTAGAAATATTCATTGAGATGCCTCAAAAAAAGGAGAGCAGGCTTGTACTGCATAAGGAAGGCTTACTGGAAGGAGAATAATTTGTTTGGATTTTCATAGCTTTGGTTATATCCTAATAGGTAACATACTTAAAATTCATAAGCAAAATTCTAGATAAAAGTGAATCTTCAGTTTCAATTAGTTCTTGTTTAGAATGATTATAATAATTAAATGTCCAGTTCCTTGACAGACTGAATTTCCAAGTGGTTACATTTTGAGACACATAATTGTTCCCTATTATTGTAGATGCATTTCATGCTTTTTTTCTTATTTGCCTGTTCGAGTTTTTTGTCATCAGTCTTCATAAATAGCATAGAGGGTAGAGGTGAAGCTGTAGCCAGTCTGTTTCCCCTGACCTTGCAGCAGACTGAAGTGCAGTGGTGCAGATGATCTGCTGGTGACCCAGAGACAGAAGTCATTGTTATGCTTTATGTAAATATTGGGGTAACAATGCTGGTTTGCTGGAGTGAGTGGGAGCATTCAGCCAGTTAATTCCACCAGAGTCAGTGGTGGAAAAATCTGGCCCTGTGTTTGTTTCTTGGTTTTGATTTCCTTGGTTTGGGTCACTTCCAATTACATCTTTGGTTATAGCTGAGATCATAGTGGTCATTGTGAGATTTTCTGCTCTGTGCTTGGACAGCTGAACAGTTAATAGACTCTGCTTACCCTAATGAGCTCTACATTCCCAATATTTTTCCATTGTTTTGATTTTCTGATTAAATTTTAAATTTACTTTTACTATTTCTATTGTTTCTCTGCATATATATTCACGGTGCCATCAGGGACATTGCTTTTCATTTGTTATTTTTGCAGTGTTGACCCATAACTGGAATATTTTGGCAAGTGCTCTATGGTGATGCTTAGTTAAAACCATTGCTGAGATGTTCTAGGTGGGAAAAAAAGAGTTTCAGAGAAAAGTTGTCTATTTTTGAAGCTAAAGACAAAGAAATTAAGTTTCTTTTCCAGTAGCCATACACTGGATTTGTGGTGGAAATGAGAACAAAATCAAAACTTCTCTAATTCGTTCCTACCCCAAAGGGGTGCAGGATGGAACCCTGAAATAGCCCCCTGGAAGGTGCTTTTGTTGTCACTGAGGAAGGGGGAAAGCTACAACGTAAATTTGGGATTATGAAATACACCCCAAATGAATGACTTCCTAGAAGCCCAGCCCATGAGAGATTTTATATTCCTAAAGAAGCTTTGTTCCAGAGGATCTTGGGCCGATTTACAGCTTTTTCTGATTCATTGCACAAATGATGTGTGCCTGTCTGTTTTTCTGGAGGACTTCTGCTGCTTCCAATGCTGTTTTCTGGCATCTGACACCAGCTCTGCCCTTCTGCTAGAGGCAGCAGAATTATTGTCTGTGCCAGCTGCTCTGTGAGAGATCAGTGCCTCAGATCCTTGGTGTGTTCTCCCTGGGACAGTTTAACTGCTGGTTCTAGAAGAGCAGTTTTTGTAAGCAGCAATCCTCACCATCTCTTTGCCACCTCAGTCTGTCCTCGCTGTTCAGCTTTTGTGGGGCTGAATCTTGTGGGTCTCCACGCCCAGGGTTTTGTTTGGACAGACACTCTCCTGTCCTGGTTCAGAGAATAATCCTCTTGCTCTGTGGCAATGTCTTTCCATACAGTTTCAAACAAAGATTATTGCAGACACTCATTTCTCTGATGATATATTAATCTCTGATGATATATTAATATCCAAACTGAACTAATTCATATCCTGATTATACCTATATTTTATTTCTCAACTGTGTGTTTTGTTCCTCATCAGGATGACCCTGATTGCTTTCCTTTAATCCAGGAGACATTTCAGTGGGCATAAAATAACTGTGGCTTCTTCGTGTCCTTTTTTTCTTCCCTCTGCCTGTCTTTGCAGCTCTCCTTGCAGTTTTGGTGAATATTTTTGAACACAGATTGCCAGAATTTTGTGCTTTATTTGGCATCTGCCATTGCTGGTTTTGGGGAGTGTTGAATACTGCCAGGACTGACTGGTGAGAAGCGCCACTGATCATTCCTCAGCCATTCCTTACCACCATCCTTGTCTTCTCCAGTGAGATAAGGAAATATCTGTGGTATCAAAATAAATGCTTGGATATATAGATTAAACTAGATATATGGCATTTTATTTATCTAAAATTAAATTATCATAACTCCCTTCAAGGTTTCCCTTGCATCCTACAACTCTGTTAAATTCATGACGTTTTTTTTTTCCCATTTACCTCCAAGTCTGTTATCTTCAAGGATTTTTGTTCAAATCTGGATCTAAAGAGAGTGGATAAATTTTTTACACTTGCTGTAAATTTTCTCAAGGGTTAGTTTATAACAAACCTACAACAATAGAAAATGGCTTTGAAGACTCACAATTTGCTTGCAGACTGAAAAGACCCTGAGGTAAGAGAACAGTTAAGACTTCTGTCATAACAATAGATGCTTTTATATCTATCAAGATAGAGACAATCCTGTAACAAACATTTGGGATAAATTAGTACCTCTAAACTGTGGAAATGTCATTTAAAGGACTGCTTTTTGCAGCAGTGTCTCTCAGCAATGCGTTGGGGTAATAATTCTGGACAAACTCAGAATGGATCTGCTCACCTTGGAATTTGGAATATATTGGTTATGTTCAGGAGGGTGGTTTTTTGAAGGTTAAGGTTGCAGGGATTCTCACTGCCTGGAAATGAGAATCTTACACCTGAAAATATGAAGCATGTACTCTTTTTCACTTCAGTTACCTTAGAGTTTAGTTGAGAAACCAGAATCCCATTTGCAAGAGCAGGATTAACTAAACAATCATAAAACTTGGAGCATTTTTTCCAAACTATGACTTTGCCTTGATGAACAAGCAGCATATCTCCAAATAATTTCCTATATACCTTTTGCTGTTAAATTTATTTAAAAAGACAAAAAAGTGCCTGGGCAGAGTTAACAGTTTGTGCTTTAGAGTCTAGAACTCTACTGTGTGAATATGTCTCAGTTACTGGATTTTTCTAATTTGGATGAAATTTCACAAATGGGGGTTAGAATAAGAGTGTGTACCAACCTTCAGGAGACCTTTTGCATTTTATAAAGTACCACAGCTTTATTATGGTTATGAGGACAGACTCACCCACCAGGAGAAATTGAGTAAAAACACTTCAGGGACCATTCTGCCCTGCTCTGTGTGTGAGTGTGACATTTCCATTAATACACAGAAATCACAGTGAGAACTGCACTCAGAAGAAGAGCAGTTTTGATAGCGTGTTTTATTGGTAGCATATTGTTATCACAATCATTTATGCAAAATGATAATCAGTGAAATACTGCCAGAAAAATCACTACAGGCTGCTCTGAATGTGGAGGTTCAAGCCTGTGAAAAGCCACTGTTGCATTTTACCGGCCCAAAACGGGTCCTGGAAGTGAATATGTATTTCTGGTCCTTTGAGATGTAATGACTTGTAAAAGGTGCAGACATGAGGGACACTGAAGTGAAAAATCAGCTCTGTCTTTACTCTCCTGTCCCATTCCATACAGAGAAGAAAACACTTCCACCTTCAGTCTTTGTATGCTCTTCTAGGACTGAAGTTCAGAGATTTATAAATCCCTTCTAGCCAATGTAAGTTTTCCATTTTGGAAGGTATCAAAGAGCATGGTCAGATCACAAGGGGTTAAGCAGACCAGACACTGAGCTTTATCTGAAATGCAGGGACCATTTTTTTTTTGTGGATATAAAGTGAAGTGAGGTACCTCAAACTGCTGTGAAGGTTGCAGCTTTTAAAGCTCTCTTAACTCTCTCAGTTGTCTTTCTCAGCCATAACCTGCATTGTATCTGCCTCATAGGGGTTATTTAGGGACACTGGATAATCCAGCACTAGCAGTGACTTCTTAATTTTGGGGTATAAAAGGTTTTTATCTCTGTAAATGAAATTTTGCAGAACTGACCCCACTTACATGCTTGGTATTTAGGCATTCAAGTCCTCCAGCAGGGAGATAGGAGCACAAACATTTTGTTTGCTCGCTGGAGTTGTGCTTCACTTAATGATAATCCATGCTGCCATGAGGCTGCATGGGCTGGTACAGGAATCTGCATAAAATTGTATTAATTGTAGCAATTCAGTATCCCTTCTGCTCTTCAGTGTTCTCACCAGGTGAAGGTTTGGGGATCCCATTCATGGCTCTCGGCTATAGAATCCTGATTTGTGTTCTTTGCAGTTCAAGGTTGTGGGTGGATGTACTTTGCCCACCCCACCTCCTCCATTTAAAAAAAAAAACAACTAAATATGAATCATCAGAGATTTTTTCACAGAAATTACTTCCAGTGAGGAAATTTCTTACTGGGTCTTCTGAGTAGAAGGAAAATCTGAAGGAAGTAAATCTGTGAGGGGCAAAGTTCATCCAACCCCACAAATGCTCTCAGTGAGCCAGAAGAGTGACAATGTGACATGGGTAAGATAACTTTACCTCAAGATACTTCATGTTATTGACACAAAACATTGTTCAAGACATTTCAAGGACTGTGGCCTTCATATGGCTGAGACCTTAGAGAGCCACAATAAATTGCAAAATAATTTTCATGCACCTTAAAGGAACATCTACGATGCCATCCTTGAGCCACCATGAGAAAGAGATGAACATTACAGCAGTGGAGAAAGAGCCTAAAAGACAACACAGAATTAGGTACTATATTTTTCTGCTGTACAGTACTGTGCAGATCCACCCAAGATTGTGCACTGGGTGATTTTCCAGTTTACAGAATCATGATGATTTTTTCTTTACCCTGTTTTTCGACAAGTATGCCCATTGCTTAAAATTCACTAGAACAAGTGATTTGCAAGCAAAATTGTCAGCTGTTTGCTTACCCTTTAAATTAAGTAGCTCACAAAGTAATCTACTACAGTGGTAAAATCAATGTAAAAAGCA